GTCTCTCCCATTGTGCTGGTTCCTCACTGTTTGTTGTGTCAGCTTTGCACGTGCTCGTAGGGCTTGGGTGATGGTGGAGTTCACTGTACACCGTAGGTGCCTGGTCCTTTCTCTGACTACACCTTCGGATTCACACCATGTTGACTTGCTGATCTGAAGGGGAAGTACTCCAAAAATAAAAGTTTTCTTTTTGTAAGTACGTACTGGAAAGTCGTCTGAGCAAACTGTACTGTAACCACCAGCCCAAGCGAAGTCAGTGTACCCGTGGTGATGGTTGTTGGGTTTTTGTTAAGTTTATCTTGAAATTGTGGGAGAAGAGGGGTGTTTTTTGTTTGTTTTTCTTTTTTATATGAAGGGATGTATTTCTTTTTGTTAGGCACAAAACTAATATAACAGTAATAAAATGGAAATTTTCTTAACTAGAAAAATACGGATGGTTCTGGGTTTCGTTTCTTTTGATTTTCAGTGAAAAGTATCTCAAACAGACTTTAGTTGGGAGGTTGCCATAGATAGGAGAAAACACTTGAGTACAGTAATGTTTAACTTCTGAATTAAGTATCTTTCATTAAATAAAAAAAACTATTGTGATATATATTTCAGTTTGGTGTTCAATCTTGATCCAGTTTACTTGCTGTGATAAAAACTGCAGTCCACTGAAACCCCAAAGAGATTCATAGAGAGCAGTTGTTTGCCATGGAGCCATTTCTCAAAGATAAATTATGTAGCAGTAAAGACAAGTTCATAAACTTTATTGTATTGCTTTAGTAGCGGTGCTTTAGGTACTACCAGGAAGGCAAATTTGACACTTAGGCCTTCCCCAAGGTTTATTAAACTGTCGTAGAAACTGCCAGTGTTACATTTTTTTTCCTTTTAGGATCTTTTTCTAAGCTCAGGAGTGGGAGGGGAGAGGAAGATGATCTTTTTTTTTCTTGATCTTTGCTTAGTCTTTCTGACTTCCCAGTTACACTAGCAAGTAAAGAGAATCATACTATCAGGGAAAAATGATACTCTTTATACTTGATTGACTCAAACCCATGTTGCTTTTTATAGCCTTGCCATTTTTCTTCAATAGCATGCATCTTTGTCATAGTTTTAAAATTAGCTAGAAATAGTACAGTTACAGTTCTTCTTAAAATTATGTGCCGCTATGAGTAATATGTACTATCCACGTTTTCCATATGTTGAGACAATGTTCTGGTTTTATGTGTGTAGTAAAAAAAAAAAGTGATAAACAGTCAGTCGAGTAGAACTGTGGCTTAATAACTGAATACTGAAAAAAAAATAGGATCAAATTCCTTTATATGTATTCATATATATATGTATATTTAAGAGAATTGTAAGACAAAATGTTCTGTGGGCCCTTACGTGGGAACCCTGAACTGGTAGGTCTTTCTGGCCTTTGCAGACCGTATTCGTGTGCAATGTTAGCACCAAAGGGTTTCTGGATGCTTGCTTTTAATTGATATATTTTTCTGAAGAATTTCAGACGATCTTTAAGCAGCTGTCGTTTTCACTGGGTTTCATTTTAGGAAAAATGTAGGAATGTTGAACCGTTGTTATTCTAGATGATGCTGTAGTCTCTTTGGAGACACAGTTCAAACTGCGAGGTACAAGGCTGAAAGACTTAAAGATAAGGGGAAGAGTTTGTCTTCGCTGCCCATGCAGGTATATCATTTACAGCATAATAGCTGTTCTACTGTCAGATCCAAGGCATGGAGATTTTTAGCCACAATATCTCTGTTCGAGTTCAGTCCCTGGGACCTGCCTGGCCGCATCCTGGTAAATACAGCTTTGTCTTTGTCACTCTGAACATGTTCCGGAGAGGGAGCAAACAAAGCTGCTTTTCTTGTGACAAAAATCTTTTTGACAGTAAAGTATAGCCAGGCAGAGAGCTAATACCTATCCACTGACTTACATTTTAACCCTCACGGCCTTTAACAAAGATCTAACATGTGGGCATCAAGAACTCAAGAGTGATTTCAAGAATGCAGGCACAGATGTTATGAAAGGGACCAGATGTCCACCCTGAGTTGGAGCAGCCACGTGAATCGTGAACCTCATGAATCCCCTTTCTTGACAGTCCTGTTTTCCAGTGCATGGACTAATCGAGTGGGTAACTGCCTGGAAACACCATTAGAGACCGACTTCTGCATGGGTTGGTTGTTCAGCCGAGGAATGTGCTCTCAAAGCACCCACAGGTCAGCGCAGAGCACCGAGCAGTGAGCTGACGGCAGCTGGGGTGCTTCAGTGAAAACACAGCAGTATCTCCAAAGTGGTTGTTAGACCATAAATTACAAGAGATGGGACTGAAGGAAGCGAGCCATCTTTTGTGTATGCCCTCACTTTGGCACCAAGCATCTCTTTGACTTTCAGAGACTCGAGTGTTCGGTCTGCATGAGCCTCTTGGTACAGATGCTGCTCATTTTGTTTGTCAGTGAATAGGTGAAAGCATCCAAAAGCACCAGTGCCAAATTCTCCAGTGCCCGGGTATTATCTGCACAGAGCTGCTGTGTCTAGGCAAAGCTGGTATTTATAAGGGCTCTGGGGTGGTGAAGAAATTAGGCAGCCTGTGTAAGGGAGAAGATGTTTTAGGCCATAAAGGGGGATTGATTTGTGGTTATTATTGCTGCCTTTGATCTGCCAACAGGGATCTGAAACTAATCCACCAGAGCAGCACAACCCTGATATATAGTGCCAGATGGAGATGCCAGAATAGGTTACTCCCGCTGTCTTTGATGCTGCCTTATCATGAAATGATAAAACAGGTAGACAAAGCAAGTAAAGGTTAGGAGAGTGTGCACTGAAGGAAGGCAGCTGGCTGTGCAAAGTGGCTGCCAGTTGTTAGAGCCACTGCAGGATCAATTAGCCACTCCCAGCGTTATCCTAACCCGATGAAAGACTGGCAGAGCTGACCGCACAGAGCTGCTGCTTGGTGTACAGCATTTAACATCCACAGAAGTGAAAAACAGTGCTTTGTGTAAGGACTTTATTCACCGTGAGTTCATGCTTCACCTATGAAGTGTATCAAAAATAAATCTTACTTTATAACTTTGTGCGGTAAGCAGTGACTGTGGCACAGCTGCTGAGATGTTGGTGGGGTCTTAGCACTTCTGATTTCATTTTGTTTAGGCATTCAAGCAATTTGGGGCTTAGTAACACTATTAGTTCTCCATAGATCTCACGGTGATGTCAGTCAGCATGCCCATTGCATAAGAAGAGTTTTATATAGATGTTGGATCGATTGGCAGGGAGTTGTCGATAAATGTATCTCCCAGACACTGTGCAATTGACAGGCTAATGAAGTGCTTTCGCAGCGACAGAGAGCTGTTGACAAATCTTTTTCTGCTTTGCTTTCCCCATTTCTGCCCTGGCATTTCTCATAAATCTGCTCCATGCCACAAGCTGAGGAGAAACCAGGATGGTTTCGCAAGGGGGGACCCATTTGCTACCCTGTGTGCTTAGAGTGGGATTTTGCAAGCATATTATTAGCCTGAGTGGTGGGGAAGCAAAAAGAAAGGACAGTAGTCAGTCAAAGGATCACGTTTGCCCTCTCTGCAATGTGTTTTCCAGCATGTTTCCAAGAAGATGCAGAGCAGGTTTGTTGCTTCCCATTGCTGCCCTCTTTCTGCCTTTCATTTTTTGCTGTGCCATGTACATTGATTCACTGCAAACAGTTCCAGCGCTGTGCTCCTTTTCCCCTAGCCCAGAAGCAGATGGAACCTCTGGCTTATTTTGCACCACTCGTTAAGGCTCCTGTGGGTGCCTTTTGCAAATGTCTGATGACCAAGCAAAGTCGTTCCTGGCCTTTTAAGTAAAAGTTCCATATTTGTTCCTGTAACTCACTGCCATACGTAAGCACCTACAATTTAGGAGGAGTGCTGCCTACCTACAGCAAGAAGATGTTCAGCAAAACCCATGCATAAGCCTACCTTCCTTGTAAGAGAGGCTATTTTGGTTAATGTGTGCAGCAAGGAACTCGGAGTGACTCACTGGCACTAGCTGTTACAAACAGTTGATGAGAAGACATCATTTTCACTCCAGTGCTCATAACCAGCCTAGATGTTCTTCGTATGTTGCTGTGTAGTCTGGGGCTTGTGAGCTGTACTGCAAGCACAATTTGCCTATTTGCTTGCATCGAAAAGCTTCATAATAATGGCTGTGAGTAGATGATTTAAATAATGAAGAACATGTGGTTTGACTGGCATCATAAAGCAGTGTTTGGTTTTGCACAGTTTCAAAGATACGCCTCAGTTGCTAACACTAATTACAACGCAGATTATGCCAAAACCTCTGTTGTGATTCCTAGCCGTGAATAACCTGAAGATCTGTGCGTTTCTCAAGCTCAGTGGAGGGCTAAAATACAAAATGTGATTTTCAGATGAGAGTATTTCACAGGAAAGCCTGTGCTGTACAGTGTGCACTAGTAGACTTTCAGTTTTTGTATACAGCCTGCGTGGCAGAAAGGGCCAAACCTTGCACCCACTGAAATCAGAAGCAGAAGGTGGTGTTTTTCTTGAAATCAAAATCAGGCTGGCTGCATGTTGCCGTTTCATTTTAGTGGGCATCAAGGAAGAAAGGAGGCCTTCAGAAGGCTCCGAGTTCTTCATGCTGTGGGCCTTAAAACAGCCTGAAGGCAGCTCAAGAAGCCATGCAGGCTTTGTGATGCCAGGACTTACTCTTTCATGTCCATTGCTGTCGTTTTCAAAGAAGGATTTTTTAAAAAGGTGCTACTGGTGCTTTCCAGAGTGGTGGGCACCTTCTGGCTTTGCCAGAAGCCAGCGTGAAAATCTGCAGGAGCAGGGAGGATTCACACAGCCGGTGAGACTTCGTGTCTCACCCAGCTCACCCAGCACTGCGGTATACAAATCAAAGGAAAATATTGCCATCAGGAAAAAATGAGTATATTGCAATTTGTTTCTAGTAGTCAGAAGGAAGCCCAGCCCTTCCCTCAAGGTGTTAATGGCATGAAAACATATTCTGCGATTCTCCTGTTGTTTCAGAACCACCTCCAACTGCAGATAAGTTTGTTTCACAGAACAGAGCTTGAAGAAGGAGGACAAGCTAAAAAAGAAATGGTAAATATTCAAACAAATGTTCATGTCGTGTTGCCTCAGGAGCTGGTTCAGTTTGCTGATGGCTCAGTTTTAGTATGGTCTGAGTAATGAAGAGCTGACTAGTGAGCCTAGTTTGGTGTAATTCCCTGAGTACTCTTGAAGCATAACAAACCCAGAAAGACTGTAATGAAAAATAATAGAGAGGCAGCTGGGGGCTTCACTTATGATCTCTGCTCATTACACTAAGCGACATTTTCATTGCAGTGTTACCATAAAGATTATTGGCTGCCACATAGCACCGGTCCCACCTGAAAAGATTCTGGAATAGCTTTGTCTGCACAGTAATAGCCGTGGAAAAACACCAAAGATTTGCTCGGAACCCAAAAATTGTTTGCCAAGTACTAATGGTGTGATGCTCTGTTCAAAATTAGTTGGAAAATGGGGTGAACACTCTCTATCCTCTTATTACGTGGTATCTGTGTGACCACCTTTGATCTTCTGCAGGAGATGTACAACTGGGAAACCAATGTGTTCATAATTTTTGCATGAATAGTGAAAATGATTTTGAAACTGTCTTTGAATTTCCTTGCTCCTCCACACGTCTGTGGACCTGTCTGAGCATCTGGAAGATGGATGTCGTTGGCGTGTTTGTGCCAGCGTTGGCCAGGGGTAGCTGAAAAGGGTGGTATTTGGCAACTGGGAAGAGATTTCATGAGGAAGAGGGCAAAATTCGGTTTACATTGGCCTGTTATGCATGTTCAAAAATTCAATCCAGGAAGGCTCCCCTGGAGCAGCCTTTCTGGAAGATGCATCCAACGTGAGATGAGCAAAGCCAACTCAGGTGTGTGAGCGAAACTGGGTTGTCTGTGATGTGCAGCACTTCACATGTGGGAATAAAATGGTCCTTTGTACTTCCATGCTTTACTCTTTTCCTTTGCGATGGTCTCAAAAAGAAGTGTTTCCTCATCTCTTCACCTTTTTTCGAGTGGTGCTTTTGAGCAGCTCAACCCAGGGTGCTGAAGGAGCTAGGGGATTCATGCACCAGTGGCAGTGAGCAGCTGCCCCTTATCCTTCTTCCCTGCTAGCAGCAAGGCAATGCACAAATTTGGAACATGTATATGTACAAATAGTGTAAAGATGTGGCCAGCCATGAACACACAGGCACCCACACAAACCTAGAGCGGACAAGCAACAGCCTCACATATGGATTAATGCTCAGGGAAAACCCTCCTTCAGGGATCGTTCTGGTATCAGGCCCCAGACTCAGTGAGTCCACCATCCAGACGCCTGAAGTTTGCTGATGGGCCTCACATGTGCACTCCCAGAGAAAATGCTTGCACAGAAGATAGTTAGAAACAGTTTAGGTAGGACAAAGTGGAGGTGATTTGACGCTGGGCTTAGCCGAAGAAGCGTGCTGACCAGCCTCCTGCTTACGTGTCATTAGCTTCCTTTATTCGCCACCTGGACCCTGATGCATTTTCCTGCACTTGCCCTCTGCCATCTATCTTGATTCCTCCCTCCCACTCTCTTGGCCCTTCCCTTAAACATCTCACAAGTCCTGTATAATCCTTAAATACCTTTGCTCAATCCCCAAACTCCCTCCTATGCCACCTTTGCACGATCTTTCTAGAGCTTGCATGGTGCTCTGGAAAGAGTTTCTTGCATGGACCCACCTGAGTGGGTTGTGCAGCAGGACCAGGGCTTAGTCCTTCACCTTTCAGGGTCTCAGGAGTAGTGGGTCAGGGGGACTAGATTGCCCAAGGTCATTACCATGCAGTCTTTGAGTCTATTTTGAGTTGTCTCACCCTGGGAGAGGTGCCTGAGCCAGCCCAGCGGAGCAGGACACCAATGCAAGCCCTGCCTATGGAGAAATGTGGTCCTGTCTTCTCCCTGCTACTGCCAGAGAAATCAGCCGTCCTCAGCGTGCAGCTGAGCAGGCTCAGGTTAACTCAGACACTTCAGTATTTGCTTAAAAAAAGAATGAAAAGACTGTGTATCAGTATTTCCCCAGAGTCCCTGTTCTCTCCGTGTTATTGGTACAATTTGTCTGGTTACTGGGGAAAAACTGTGTACCTGCCAGACACAGAGTAACTTAGAGAAAGTTCCTTGGTTTGCACTTCGCTATTTTTACCCTGTTTTCCTTTTTTTTAATGTTAATTAGATGCACAGCAAAATGCATGTAGTAAATCAATAATAAAGATTATATAAGGAGATATAACTGAGCAGCAAGTCCCTTGGTGTAGCAGTCAAAAAGGAAAATGAGCACTGCTTTCCGTAAGCCCAGAGGATGCCATGTGGACAACAGCATTAAAATAACGGAGTGAAGAAGGCCGCCTTGAGGATGGCTCAAGGAAGCTGACTGTGCTGCAAGCCTCTGTGTTTTCTGCCCCCCGTTCTCTGCCTCTCTGGGGTTAATTTGAAGCAGGCAGGTGGCCACAAATACAGACCCAGCAACACAGTTTGGTGAAAAGGAGCCAACTTGGTTTATCTACTACATGCTCAAGGTGTTACAGATACGTAAACACAAGGGTAATGATGATACACATGACTTCAGTAAACACAACACACTTATTTCTAACATGACTGGTCTTTTTCCTTCTTGCTGATGTGTTTTTCTCTGTAGCCACCTGTCTTGGCTTTTGCCAAAGAAGCTGATCCTGCTCACGCAGATTCTGCAGCTCTTGGTTCCTTTTAATTCATTAGATAAAGGGTGTCCTTTGTTCTACTGGGTGCCTTGGTCCTCAGGGTTTGCAGCTGATGGCTTTTGCTGGCACTAAATTGTTTCTTTCTGGTTGTGGGTAAGTGGGAAAGGGCCACTTGATCTGTGAAAAGAAAACATGGGGGAAAAGTTTCCATTGAGGCCAGTGGGAATTCTCAGCCATGGGGTTGGGCTCTGACCTGTGCAGTTTCTCCATGCCTGGGGTGGATCCAGGGAGTGGTCTGCTCACTGATCCATCTGAAAGGGGGTGTGAGAAGGTAGATCAGCCCTCACGGGTGCGTGTGAATCCCTGGTGAGAAATTCTGTGTAACTGAGTGTGATAGGACCTTATCCACATGCAGAAACAAATTAGTTTTCCCTTCATAGAACCTTAGAATGGTTTGTATTGGAAGGGAACTGAAAGACTGCCCAGTTCCAGCCCCCTGCCGTGGGCAGGGACACCTCCCACCAGACCAGGTTGCCCAAAGCCCCATCCAGCCTGGCCTTGAACACCTCCAGGGATGGGGCATCCACAGCTTCTCTGGGCAGCCTGTGCCAGGGCCTCACCACCCTCTGAGTGAAGAATTTCTTCCTAATGCCTGATCTAAACCTAACCTTTTTTAGGTTAAAACCATTCTACCACCTTCTATCGCTACACTCCTGGACAAAGAGCCCCTCCCCAGCTTCCCTGTAGTCCCCCTTTATGTACTGGAAGGCCACTATAAGATCTCATAGGAGAGGTGCTCCAGCCCCCTGGTCACCCTTGTGGTCCACCTCTGGACTCACTCCAACAGCTCCATGTCCTTGTGCTGTGGCCCCAGAGCTGAACGCAGGGCTCCAGGTGGGGTCTCAGGAGAGCAGAGGAGAGGGGCAGAATCCCCTCCCTCGCCCTGCTGGCCATGCTGCTTCTGATGCAGCCCAGGATACAGCTGGCTTTGTGGGCTTCAAGTGCATGTTGCCAGATCATGGTGAGCTTCTCATCCACCAACACCTCCAGGTCCTTCTCCTCAGGGCTGCTCTCAGCCTGTTCTCCACCCAGCCTGTATTTGTGCTTGGGATTGCCCTGGCCCAGGTGCAGGACCTTGCACTTGGCCTTGTTGAACCTCATGAGGCTCTCACAGGCCCACCTCTGAGGCCTGTCCAGATCCCCCTGTATGGCATCCCTTCCCTCCGGCGTGTCCCTCCTTGGTTTCTTCAGGCTGCCATTTCATTCTTCTGGGCTAGGTGTATTTTTGTTCACTTGTTTTGTTTTATCAACTTAATAGAGTCTGTAAATGAAATCTTTGTGTTTATCTTGTTTTTTAAAGGTACAAATATGGGTACATCCTCTTCTTCGCGTGTGTGGCCTGGGTCCATGGAGAACCCTTTTGTATGCCTCTCTGGCTTTGTGTGAAGGCTGAGATACTCATTGCTCAGCTCACTGGGTGTTCAGTAGGTCCAGTTTTCAGAAGACAGATGCCCATGATCCGTGTGCTTTTGAAAAAAAATCTCTCTGCCAAAAGCCACAGTTCCTGTAAGGTCTTTCAAGCTGGATGTGCAAAGTCATTATCCAATTTTGCAAATCTTGGCCTGTACATTTTCCTTTAAAACAGATATTTTTTGCAAGATTTCTATGAGCTTCCAGCTGTGCTCCTGTAACAAGCCTCTCATTTAAGGTACTCATTTCAAAAGGCTGCTGGCCTCAGAGAATATAAGGAGATGGCTTTCTTTTATTACTGTATATTAATTAAAGAAATGCCTGGCACATACTTGGAATTCCTTTTTTGGGGAAAAAAAAAAGTTCTCCTTAACATTCAGGAGTTCGAGGAAGTCAGGATTAAATTAACCATTTTAAGAGCTGATGTCTGGCAGAATTAAGATCATCTGCAACTGCCAGCCCTATGGGAGAGCAGATGTTTATAAATCATAATTACTTCAGCTCAAGTCTCCCCACACGTATTTCTCACCTGATTTGTCTCCTTATATGACTGGCTGGAGCACGTTCCCTCCACAGCTGCAGTTCAGGCTGCTGAGTGCTTGTGGTGGGACTGGAGGTGCTGTGGTGAGGAGCACCACAGGGAGCTCCTCAGCTCAGGGCAGAGGTCCATCAGGGTCCGTCTCTGACAGTAACCCCCAGGGAAGGAGCATCAGAAACTTGCCAAGTAGAGACTCATTCTCTTCTTCAGGCACAGCAAGCAGAAAGGGGAGAGATTGGGGTTGAGGGATCTGTCAGAAGGTTGCCCTGTGGGATGAATGGTCAAGTGGAAGGACAGTGGGGCTGGCCGGTGAGAGACACGGGATGGATGGACACCTTCTACACAGGTCAGTGTAGAGACAGTGAGCC